GGGACCTCTGCACGTTTGATAATAGCGCGCACCATCGTGCGCTCTTCTGGTTGGCGATGCTGCTGCCGCAGCAGCAGCAGCTGATGATGTCACTGCCATTGTCTGTTGTTGCTCTACGAATGTGTCTGAGCCTCTACAGGCGCTCCGATACATCTCAAGTGTAGTGCTCTGTTTTACATTGATAGTGATGATCGATCGGTGCGGTTCTTTTACCAGCTCACTCCTCCCGTCTCTGTCTACTGGAGTCAGTGAGCCCAGGAATCAGCCAAAAGTTCAAAGCGTTGAGTCTGGTCTGTTTAAAGAACGTGCTTCGAGAGGACTGTGTAGTTGGCTGGATTGCGTATCGTTGATTTGCCACGGATGCCGCTGCTGCTATCCGGTTGCCAAAGTAACACGCTCCATACAGCGTGTTGCTGCGTCAAGCTGCAGAATACGATGGCTGGGTGATTGGGTTGCTCGATGGGCCTGTCAGCCTGGTCGTGACCAGTGGCTGAAGCGTCAATTCATCTCGATTTACGTTTGTCTATGCGCAGGATCGTCTATTCCCGGCAAAAATATGTACACGGTCCGTGCATTATGGGGGAGACTTAGAGCTGGAAGAGACAGCAAAGCCATGACTTTTCATCAAGGCTTCATATATATATATATATACAATAGGTCGAATCGAACAGCAGCAAAACACTAACGGGAGGAGGCCAGCCAGTGAACAGCGAGAGCTACATCGATATAAACAGCAGTATTGTTTATATCGATAGTGTTCGTTGTTGCTCTTCACTTCGTTGATGATTAGACACGAAAGGTCTGCCGATGAGAAAGGGAACGTGTCGTTCCGCATCAGCGTAGACGCGATGATATCTATCGCTCTAATCATTGTCGCCACTATAATCGTCAATGTAGCGTTCTGCTGTGTAGCAGCCGACCGAACGTCCTCTTTTTTTCTTCTTTGACGTTAGTTAGTGTCAGAGCGGAGAGAGCTGAGATCGTCGAGTGGCGTCCGGTGACGGCTCACACTCTGTGGACGATCGAGGATGATAACCGCTTTACTGCCGGCTGTAGATGGCGTCACCGTGTCGTTTCGTACTCATCGTTGTGTCCTTCGTGGCGGTTAAATGATAACTTGTATACAAAACGAGTAGACAAACGGAAGCTTTTACATACTACTAACATGCACATATAAATCAAAAAGTAGTAAATAAAAAAGCACAAGTGGTTCTATCTACTACGGTAGACCACTCACGGCTCGCCACGTAGCCTTCACGGTCAGTTGAAATGGCATGTTGCGGATACACGTGCACACTCAGCTAGACGTCTCCGTAATCGCTTTATTGAATATAGCGACGACGCGACATAAATGGTTTTCATTTTTCATCGGTAATCAACTGACAAAACGCGAGTGGCCGGTTACAGAGTTTGCGCGCTTGCAGCCATGCGAAGGCTCTAAATAATACAATGAGAACCGTTGCAATACAACTTGGTACAATAGGGGCGGTGGACCAGGGTGCATCGGTGGTAACAGCAAAATGGCATTACACAGAGATGCCCAAAACAGGCCATTATGAGCCCACATGACCCTAGTATCAATCTCGACATTGATGCCGACCGGATTGCATAAATATTTCTTCACAGTGGAACCGAAGATTGGTGAGTGGACGATTATCGACAGCTACATCGTTGAAGCATCTGACCCGCAAAAGCCGTATATCTGACCGCCATAACAATGACAACAATGGATTGCTTGATACTTTCCAGAAACTGTACACCTCAGAGTTGTCTCTTGGGGACATGCTAAATAACGGTTTGTCAGTTGTGGTCATAACACCATATTGTGTTATAACTGTGGTTAGAGTTTATCGTGAGTGTAAATGTTTAGTAATATTTGCCTATGTAACTGAGTGCGCGGTATTCACTATGCCCTTCATGTACTCATGTGCTCAAAAATATTTCTATACAACAACGTCCCAAACCGTTGCTGCAGCCACCCTCGATAGAATGAATGTACGCTAGCACTGCCATTGCTAATGGCACATGCTGCCATTTTTTTTCGGGGCTCGTGCAATTTATGAATATATATATATATATATATATAGTAGTAGTTTACCTTTTCATTGGCAAGCTGTCTCTGGCGATGAGCATAACTTAGAGCAACGTCATGATGTAGGAAGCCTCATAGCGTATTTTGGCCTGAGTGTTATTGTCGTGTCTTTGAACAGTTCAAGGTTACGGCCTATCGGCCTTTATCAGGTTAGTTCTCGGGTGCTTCGAACGAGCTCGTTGTTCGTTATACTTTCTAGATATCAAGTCAAATTGAGCTTTCTTTAATGCGCGTTCTTTAGATGATTTTCCCAGGTTTATTTTCTCGGTCTTTTTTACCTTAGATCTATTTAGAGCCCTCTAGTCACCCCCCAGTTCGCTACCGCTAACAACTAGCTCTGACATCGTTCTTCGGTCAGCATTGCTCGCCAGCATCGTCAGCGCCATCAGTAGAAGCGGCGGTTCAAGCTGCCAGAGAAGTTGTTTTTCCCGTTTCTAGTACATAGGTGCTCTTCGTAAGTATTAACGAGCCGTTGAAGCTGATGTTATTTTCATCCAGATATATACTCGTATCCACATCTCGAATATACAGTGAAACATCAAAAGCGTCCAATCAGAACCCTCTATCGGCTGTTGTCTAGCCAGCTACTAGCTAATATGGCAACTGAGTCGAGACGCTGTGTTTGCCCGCGTCACTGCTTTGGCCACTGGTTTTTGTGGCTAAGCAGCCGACGACCACTGCATGATAGCGACCGGTGCCTGGCGTATCCTCACTCGTAGGGAATCGTCACCCGGTTAGAAGAATTGGCGGCCGGGACTGTGACGGACGCTTACTGCTGCTAACACTACCATCGTTCTTTTCGGACTTTCGTCATCATCCTTTTCTTGCCTCTCTTTCCCTGCTGTCTTCAATGCCAATTCGACTCAGATCGCTTGGCGCGGTCGATAAGGTGATTTTCTTCTTCACGCTTCCCCCATCTCTAGCGAATCACCCATTCATCCCAGATAAAGCCCCGCGAGCAAGCGCGGCAGTTCACACTAAGAGTGCCGACTCGTATCGAATCAATGCTGCGGCCGCAAGCATGTACGGTTATGGCCTACGACAACCACAGCCACATAACCTTGCAGAGCAATGCCGTTCCGTACGGCAATACGCGACAGGAGTTAGGGATATCTCTTTCAAACTATCGAGCAGCATTTGTCGATGCAGCCCGTCGCACTACTGCCAATTACGTTATACATGTCCTAGCTGGGTTCATACCCAAACGGTCTTAGCTAATTGTTGAAAGCGCTATCTGGTCGTCGGAGGGTTATAGTTGTTGTTTTACGGTGATAGTTTAGTGGCCGTAGGCTGGAGCCGATGGGACAGGCAGGTCGGCCAGTGGTAGTGGAGACGCTTGTGGTAACGATCACGTCAAAAGACAGAAACAACTGGAAGCCACTTTAGTAGTCAGTGTTTACGGCGCAGTAACGCGGCGCATATAATGAGCCTGTAGACAATCGATGTATCGTTGTTGAATTATTATCGCCGGAATTAGCTGGCATCGATCGTTTTTCTCCGCTCGAAGTCGATACGTTGAGAGTGAGCATCTTTCTGGCTACTAGCGAACCATAGCTCGATCTCGTCTGATCGTTCGGTCTGTGGTTATGGCTGATTGTGGCCGCGGGATCTCCGAGTATTTAAAACGCAACACAATTTGGATAAGCACGAGAACTCAATTTAGAATAGGCCAATCGCTGGGGGAGCAGGGAACCACTGGAGCGTGATTCGTGCGTGAGCGGGTAGCAGTAAGCAGAAGTCCGGCGACATTCATAGGGGAGGCAGCTGCTATTTGGCGCTGTGGTGGGGGCGCAAGGTCGAGGGGAAAAGACAGATCGAAACCTGGAAAACTCTAGTCGCCAGCAATAGCTCACAATACGAATGTGCTAACCGGTTCGTTGTTGTCTGCAGTACTTTTTGGCCGGATTTAATGCTTTTCGATAACTGGGCAACACAGTCACGTATTTAGCTGCTTCAACTATAATTGATTGTCAGTCGATGTGAACTGATATTTAGGACGGGAGTTTTTAGATGAATTGAGCTCAACACGAGCTTTTTCGTTCAATTTCAAAACAAGAGCGAAAGGGGAACAATCCTGTTTGTTCGCTAGGTGTCTGGCAAGCTCCGAAGATGATTCTGTGTCCCCGTATTGCGTTCTGCTACACTCAAAACGGCGGGCGCAGGATTAATTTCGGGAAAGCGATAACTGGTTCAGAAGAAAACCTAAACCGTGCAGCTAAATATGTGCAGGTCTCCGAGAAGGAACTTCCGTGAAATCTACAGGGTCAGAAAATTAATTTTCGCGCCAAAAAACTTCCACAAAAAACATGGCTCTCTGAGAGTGGTTAGATTCAGCGGATTTTTTATTGTGCTTTTTCCTGATATTATATTTTCTTTTCTTTGAACGCGCATGCCCTTGTCGTTTCTATTTACATACGTACATCTCATTTTTTTTGTTGAGCACACAATAATGAAGAATATATTCGGTATATATATATATATATATATATATATATATATATATATATATATATATATATATATATACATACACGCAGAGATTGTCTGTATGATTTTGCACGATTCTTATCACGTCAACAAATGCCTAAATAAATAGCATCGTATTATCAAGCATCGTCTTACAAAATCATCATCATACGGATATGACTAGAAACTTTCGCAAGTATCTTTCGCTTTATAAAAAAAAGTACATAGTTTTTGCACGCTGCGGAAGTTGAAACGCACTCAGAGAGCTTACGTATAATGTCATCTGCATCTACTATTGTTATCACGGTCATCGTTAGAAATGTCTTTTTAGGTGAAAGTAATCGCTAACCATTTGTGTATATGCGTTTGTGTGCGTCTGTTTTTCTATACCGGACGTCTCCCTCCCCCTCGTATGGCTGGCTTGTCCTTCATTGACTTTTAGGCGGGACCGCCCGGCGGACAGCCTGGACAACCCTTCAAGTTCACCGTAAACGAATCATGCGACCGAATCAAAGAGGAATTTAGTTTTCTCCAAGCTCAGTATCACAGGTAAGAAAGCTGAGGATCGCACGTTTATTATATCGACTTGATACTCATACTAAAAAGTACTTAGCGAAATATATGTAGGTAAACAATAGCGCGGGTGTACGTTCAATAGCATCTTCCGCTTAGGCAGAGACCGCATTTGTATTTCGTCATTATATGCTGTCGCATATCTTCGTATAGTGTAACAATTAACAGAGATATTCACTAAGGCTCACATTGTGATTTGTGGCAGATAAAACAAATACTGTGCTCTACGCTTTAGGATGGCAATGCTTTTAAACAACCACTGATGATATATGTATTAGCTTCATGAGTATTACGAGTATCTAGCAGTCGTCGGGGCAATGGAGCCTATTATCTGTCTATCGATTGCAAAGATATACTCTTTGGCTCTTTTAGCCATTTCTTCACTTTATTATGTGACAAAAACAAACTCCAGTATGAACGACCTAGCAACTACACTCGAGTTTGACGCTGGTGCCCTTTCCATGAAGACCCGCGTTCCATGCAGAGACGATATTGAGACTCGTTACGGTTCCCTGATGTTATCGTTGCTGCAGACAGACAGGGAAAGGGGCGGCAGAGAGAGAGGGAGAGCGAGGAAGAGAGGGAGAGGGAGGGAGGGAGGGAGGGAGGGAGAGAAAGCCTGACCGACCGACCGACCGACCGACCAACAGACAGACAGACCCATCTGAAATACGACGAAGAATAACGCGCAACAAAATAATCCAGCCGTCATCCGACTCGCCTGTCCCGTCGATTGGCGCTTTCGACTCGACTATAGGTAAAAAAAAAATAGAGAATTTGTTGACGATACGAGCAATCTCACATGTTTCTGCTGCCATCAGAAATCGCCCGCGAGCGCTCGACAATAGACAATGCCATCTCTCCGAATCCAACGTCTTTAGGCCCCAACATCTGCTATTATAAATATAGCTTACTGTGAATGCAGCCATTGATAAGTACTAAAATAAAGTGGTACAACGAATGCCCATAATAACAATAATAGTACATGGTCAAAAAAGTTACTCCTCAACCGCGGCCTCTTGTCTATCGAGTCCACTCTATCGGCTTTCAGTTATGACGACAATGGACTGAACAAAAACTGATATATAGAGAATGTGGTATCCGACTGATCACAGTTTGAAATGTAGATATTTTAATTAAAGCAATGCGACGATTATGTGTCGATATGGATGTGATCGGGTGAGAAAATAGATAGACCTTGACAACAGCTCAAGACTATGGTGTATAACAATTCAACGGGTAGCGGCTTAAGAGGCGATATAGAAAACGATTTTTATAGTTCAAGTGCGTTCGAGTGTGGCAAACGCGGCAACATGGGTAAAACGGGGGGCATCATATAAATTGTGTACAACTGACATGTCGCCTGTCGGAGCCCCGGCCGTATGTATGCAGGGGAGGAATTGTGATGGAACGATAGGACAAGCCGCGCTCGGCCTTAGGTCGTGTCTCATTGTGTTCGCCACAGGTAATCACCGCGATCAATTCAATTCGAAATTGCCCCTATGGTAGCCAAGAAGCATACGATTACATCAGTAGAGTGAAGAGCGCTGGAACCGGATCGCGTGTTGGTTACTGTCGACTTATGGGAAAGGGGTAGACGTTAACAACAGATAGAAGTGGAAAAACAGGATAGAAAGGTTATTACTTGAAGCTTGTTGTTGTTGTTGTTGTTGTTGTTGTTTCTGCGCCAAGTACAATGTAACGGACAGCTAATCAGGACAGACAAACGCGAGAACGGCCCAGGCGCCCACAACACGCAACAACTAGTGCGTAAAGTTCCGTGTCCCTCCTGGGTTGGCTTTTGGGTTCGACAACGACGGCGCAACAAGGGAAGGAAGTACCGTACGTTTATCTAAGTAAAAGATGACATCCTTTCAACATTTTTTCATGCACATATTATTCTGGAATATAGAATGCCAGCTGCTAGCTATCCAACGCACTCGTTGACAGGTCTTCCGGCATCAGCCACGCAGTGCAAGATAGATGAACTCTGAGTCGAGGGGAACGATCGGCAGATCGACAGCGGGATGGCAAAACGACCATCGCTGCCACAGTCATTAATCGCTAGTCGGCCCGATGGTTACTCAACGTATCACTGAGCGGTGGCAGCGCCGTTTCCCCATCTCGAATCTTAGCGCTTCTTTGATTAAGCCTTGTATCCTGCTTGCTTTGGCTGTCTGTTGAATTCGTTGCTGTCGTCGTTGTCTCAGTTCTGGGCAGCAGATAATAGTGGGTTGTATCCGTGGGCTGACCGGCGCGGACCGTTCAACACTCGAAGCTAGCCTATGACGACCCACATTTGATCTCGTTGGAACTGCTGCTCACGGGTGCAAACTGAACTTATTTCCTGTGCCTGGTAGTTGCCTCTGCTACTCTACAGCGACCCTAGTCGATTCGGTAGCCTCGCTAGCGACCAGAAGTACTATCAGCCCCCATAGTTGGTCGACTACCCGTCTGTCGTGGCCTAGGCCTGCAGCCCAATGACACTGTGTGTCTCTTGAGAGTGGATACCTACTTCGATCTATGTGCGGTTTCTCGATGTATATACTGGCAGTTGTGGGTCTGACCGAGTGCACGCATCAGTTTCGTATTATCGCAACACCAGCCTCGCCGGTACCTGCCACTCGGAGACGCTGCGCCTCTTATCGCTGTCGCCGTATGCGAGAACGTGTGTATCGTCATAATGGACGTGCTATGCTTGACAATCTACATTTTGCGCTTTAATGGTGATGTCGCTACTGCTGCCGCTCACTGCTATTTTCCAGTGCCATTTTGACGTTACCTCTCACCATTAGAAAAGTGAAACAGGGTTGAACTCGGCTGTTGCTCAATCGCCTATTGCCGCTCTCGTCCATCGCGTCGTTGTGCTAATGTTGCCTCTGCGGCGGCCGTTCGCCTGGCGCACCACTCCGATAAGCAGTGACCACCGTACGTGCATCAATTCTGCTAACCAATAAGTAGATCAGTAACCTGGATGTGGCAAATACCCTGCTCGCCATTTTTCCTGCCGGTAGCGCAAAGCAGTGCCAAAAGGACAGCAGTTTATTGTAGCAACAGCTCGATTTACGTAGCTGTTATGGTAACGGGGCCATCTCGTCCGCTGGTGCCGTCTGAGCCTTTGACGCGCTGTTTAACCCATTATCTCTATATTTAGCTTTTTCCCGTGATTCGTGCGCTCCCTGCTTCTTCTGATACTTCTGAAATGTTTCAGCTCTGCCTAATCAATTCTATTATCGTACTCGGTTGTTCGGTAATGTACTGGCAAGCAATAGTTGTTTGGTGACCGTCGTCTAACTGGCCCCCACGGTTTGCTATCGATTTGCTACCACTTTAACACTGCGACAAGGCGTGCTCTTGCTTGACAACGAAATTATGAGCCTGCTCCTGCTGGTGAGAGTGCAGGTCGTAGGTTGGCGACTAACAACGACCAACTCTTTCTTTCCCATCTTCCCGTCGTTCTCACTTGCTAGCGAAAAAGGTGTAATAGTCAAATCGTCTCTTCAGCTGAGTGCGAGCAATACCGGTTAAAATGCTAATGGAAAACGGTCTTGTGAGGCGTGGTCTGTTCGTGCTCGTCGGTGTGACAATGCTTCACACTGATGGTAAGCACCAGGGGTGACGTATGCTTCAATATGCAAAAATATGCATAACTTAGTGATCAGCAAAAAAACAAAAGTAGTTTAGACCTCGTACCTTGTTATCACTGTAGTAGCAACGGGTCGTCACTCAACGGCTGCAGTTGTATGTTGAGTGCGCCGAATCCCATGTGCAAGCTCAAAGGAACGAGACGCATAGGGTCGAACTGCGTCTTCGAAGCGCCGCTTGTGATCGAGCTTTTATTGCCTCCTTCTCTGCTGCTAGCCTTCCGCCTCATTCGATTTCTAGAACAAGCTATCTCGTTTTTCTTTCATGAGTTGATGCTGAGGTACATGCCGCATCGAGGAGAATCGAACATGATAAATCGGCACCATATGGTACGTCGTGGCGCGGTGCGTTCCGATTCAACCCACTTTTTTCCATTATTTTCGTACAGCTGAATTGTGTTTTTAGACACACATGTCTCCTATGGTCATGCTCGTACCTACACGAACATCGTGAACGATACAGCGTGGGGGGTTCAACGGGAGACAAAACGTTCCGGTATCGCCATCGCCTCGTTGCGCCGCTGGCGCGACAAGTACTGATCGTGCTTCGATGTCTGATGATGCACGAACGAAGCACATGCGCACTGTAAGAGAGTGGGAGAGAAAAAAAAATAAGTCTGCGGAACAAAGGCTAATTCTCACTTGTTCTAATAGTATAGTATGTACTAGGTATCATCAAGCGTCGCATAAAGGCGAAATGCCAAGAAAAAGAACAATCTATTTTTTTCTTCCATCTCTTGAATATTGTTTTGCGCTTGATAGACGTCACCAAATGTCTGCTTTTCTTTCGTCCGGTTCCTTAACCGGCCTCTTCTTTTAATTCGCTACCTTCGTAAAGGCAAAATGGCGCTTTGCAGCACCTTATTCGAGCTGAAAGTGGCGGGTGGCTTGATACGCCCCCTTGAACTGCACTGCAAGCGGCATGTCTGCGTGCTGTTTGAGGAGGGATATCAAAGGTAGAGGTTGTAGGCACGCATGGCCACGGAGAGGCCATCTTGTAGCGTTGCTGACTGACTCCACTGAGCGTCGGTGCAGCTGCTGCTATTATTTCTTCTGCCACCCCTGCCTGTCGTACAGATGACGGCGTTCAACAATGATGCAACAGACATGGCAGCAGGCACGAAGCTCCTATATCTCAAGTGGACAGTTTCGGTCGCGACTGCTGCAGACGGACGGGATTAATGGCTGGCCGGGAGCCCGTCGACAGTAGTTGTTCAGTGGACCACTTATTAACGGATCCGCTACCGAAGCGCAGGTGACAGATGCGCTTCTACTCCGCTACCGTCAATAAAACGGCTGGCGGCAGTGTTTCGCTGTGCACGCGTCTCTGCT